ATTTAATTTTCTACGAAGTAAAAATGCGCATCCCGTAAATAACGATCCCTGTCAGACTAGTCGATATCGTGTTAGGAGCAGGGGAGATTAGGCAGTAACGTCAGACAAGATTAGGCCTAAGTTGAGAGACAAACCGAAGACATCTATCGGTAATATACAAAAGAATACATTACACACACACACACACACACACATATATATAGCCTTCGGGGAAGAAACAGTGCTTACCCTAACAACAAAAATTTAAACGCATGAACAACAACCCCATGACCAGAGTGGCAAACAACTTAACTAAAAAGCTTTCACCATCTATCAAAACTGTACTACACACAAATGGTGGCATCCTTTCTAAAGATCCTTCAACGTGGGAAATGATCCAGGCATACAGCATAGATTTACAGCCGAACTATACACTCACAACGACAATTCCAGGCATAGACAGAAAGGCTGAAGAATGTGACCCAGTACTGCATGCCTGAACATGTCTGCAACTCTTATCCCAGAGGTCCCAGAAACCCCTTTCAGCCGTTATGGCCACATTTGTGGCCCAGCTTTATTCAGGGCCCCCGGCAAAAGCCAGGGTAGGGCTTCAAAAAACGAAAAATTGCATCCCACAAGGGGACGACTTGGACTATTGGCAAGGGTCAACGCAGCTAAAGAAAGCTTAAATGTCAAGGTCGCATGGTGTCATCAGCCATCTTGGATGACGTCACGCCCATCATGCTGCATTTAACCGTTACTAGGTGTCTCGTGGTGTGGATAGCCTCAAACAAAAGCTAATTACCTGAAGGTCATCAAAGTGTTTAATGCGGCAGAAGTCAGACATGCTTCGATAAATCCTAGCCCTGAGTACGCTACCTGGTTAATCAAACATGACATTTTTCTTTAAAAAAAAACCAACAGTAAAAGGATTCCCTTTCCTACTTCTGGACACAGTGGAAAGCTTGCTTTATTTTTTTTAACCGATCGGTTCTTAATGAGTATCATAAATGCGATTCTTGCGAGAGGCCTCTTGATATAACAGGAAAAGATAACTTTAGAATCTATGAAATCCAAAGGAAGATATGGGTTGCGGCACCTCTGGATTTTTTTAAAAAAGGAAATGGTTTGGCCATGTAACGCGGATGCGAGCAAATAGTATACCACAGCTAGCAATAATGTACAGACCAACCGGGAAGTGAAGAAGATCCTCCCACCTTCTCCAACTTTTCACTGAGGTTGCTGAAGAAAGCAGAGAAGTCATAAGTCTGCTTGACCAAGTGGTGCAATTATTTGCCTCTCACACCGAAGGTCGTGGGTTCTGTTTCAGACTTCAAGGGGGTCGTCACTGGAAATATCCCGAGCTGCGAGCGTTGCACTACAGTCTTAGTAGGAAAACCACCTATTTGAGTAGAGGGACGAAATGAATTGAGAAAGAAATCGATCTTCTTCCTTGTAAATGTTTAAGAGTGATAGCCAGCGGTGTTCAAGAGAGCTCCTAAACCAACCCACTATCTTTTAGAGAATTCACTAACAAGTCAACTTATTGTGTTATAGAGAGCTCCTAAACCAACCCACTATCTTTTAGAGAATTCACTAACAAGTCAACTTATTGTGTTTATAGAGAGCTCCTAAACCAACCCACTATCTTTTAGAGAATTCACTAACAAGTCAACTTATTGTGTTATAGAGAGCTCCTAAACCAACCCACTATCTTTTAGAGAATTCACTAACAAGTCAACTTATTGTGTTATAGAGAGCTCCTAAACCAACCCACTATCTTTTAGAGAATTCACTAACAAGTCAACTTATTGTGTTATAGAGAGCTCCTAAACCAACCCACTATCTTTTAGAGAATTCACTAACAAGTCAACTTATTGTGTTATAGAGAGCTCCTAAAACCAACCCACTATCTTTTAGAGAATTCACTAACAAGTCAACTTATTGTGTTATAGAGAGCTCCTAAACCAACCCACTATCTTTTAGAGAATTCACTAACAAGTCAACTTATTGTGTTATAGAGAGCTCCTAAACCAACCCACTATCTTTTAGAGAATTCACTACAGGTCAACTTATTATGTTATAGAGAGCTCCCAAACCGACCAATCATAGAAGATGATTGGTCGGTCTATAACATAATAAGTTGACTTGTTAGTGAATTCTCTAGTAGACGGTTGATTCGTTAGTGAATTCTCTAAAAGATAGTGGGTTGGGTTGGGAGGTCTCTAGAACACTGGCCAATCAACTACTTTTTTGATCTAGAGAGCTCCCAAACCAACCAACCGTCTTCCAAAGAGTTCTCTAACCAATCAACTAATTGTTTTCTAGACAATTCCCCAATCAACCAACCAACTCTGTCCTGTGTCGCAGGATGTGGATTGGGGTAGTCGTTTCCCATACGCGTAACCATTTTCGTTTCTAGCTTATATGTCACTATTTAAACTCCTCTGGCTGTTTCCATGAACACGCCTTTAAAAAAAGCCCCCCCCCCCCCCCCCATGCTTTCAGTTTGTAGTATTAACATCTCAAGATCAGAATTAAACAGGTTCCAATCTGAGAAACCCCCTTCAACAGTATAACCATATAGCACAGTTATACTGGGGCACCACATAACCATATAGCACAGTTATACTGGGACACCACATAACCATATAGCACAGTTATACTGGGGCACCACATAACCATATAGCACAGTTATACTGGAGCACCACATAACCATATAGCACAGTTATACTGGAGCACCACATAACCATATAGCACAGTTATACTGGAGCACCACATAACCATATAGCACAGTTATACTGGGGCACCACATAACCATATAGCACAGTTATATTGGGGCACAAGATAACCATATAGCACGGTTATACTGAGACGACTGATAACCATAGAGCACAGTTATATTGGGGCACCACATAACCATATAGCACAGTTATACTGGACAACCACATAATCATATAGCACAGTTATACTGAAACACCACAAAACCGTTACGAAGTCATGAGTAGTCTAATGTGGGGAGCTCTGATAAATTCTTGATTTATGATCAGACGATTTGTCCACACATGACTGTAGAATCAAACATGCTGGGGTCGCCGTCATGGGTGTCTAAATATGGGCTTCCCTGGAAGTTGAGAAGGATATATATGATTTACCTTTTTGATTTGCTGTCCGCGAAAACTTCAGTGAAGCCTGGGTTGGAGTGAGAGAAAAAAGGAGGGGGGAGGGAGAGGGAGCAACAACTACAACAACCACCTGGACTAGTTCGCAAGCCAGGGCCTGAACATCTAATGATTGGGCTGACAGAGCCCCAATGTAGACTTTGGTACAGATAAGAAAGATCAACAATGTTTGGTTGGCCAATCGCTGCAGGTTTTACTGTTTTACCGTAGAGCTCTGCGCCAATACGATCTGTCGCTCTATTTACGCGCTCTGTGTTCTATGTACACTGTTCATGGACCGCCATTGTCATGTACACCAGGTTGTCATGGAAATTGTTCGCTGTTTGTGATATGTGTTCTGTTGGATCTTGGTTGTTGTGTTAATATATCGACTTAGTAGTAGTAGTAGTCGTAGCAGTGGTAATAGTGGTAGTAGTAGTTGTGGTGGTGGTAGTAGTAGTTATAGTAGTAGTAGTAGTAGTCGTAGCAGTGGTAATAGTGGTAGTAGTAATTGTGGTGGTGGTAGTAGTAGTTGTGGTGGTGGTAGTAGTAGTTATAGTAGTAGTAGTATTAGTAGTTATAGTGGTAGTAGTAGCAGCAGCAGTAGTTGTAGCAGCTGTAATGGTGGCGAGGAGTGGCTGGCCAAACGGTTAGAAGCTGGACTCTCATGGTGAGAGCCGGGTTCGAATCCTCGGTAAAGGTTGTGGAATTTGTGTGTGCCGGGTGCAGAAAAAAAAATGCCAACCTGCACACTTCGTGCGGACAACACTAGCCATGTGGCCCTAAATCATCAGGCTCAAAGACATTCCTTTTGTCTGCACCGCAACAGTTTTTTGGGGTTGAAAAAAAAAAGGGGTGGGGGGGGGAGGCGGGTGGGTGATATTAGTAGCGGAGATAGTACTAGTAGTAACAGTAGTAGCAGAAGTGGTATTAGTTGCAGTAAAATTGAATAGTAGCAGTAGTGCTCGTTGTGGTGGCAGTAGTGGTTAAGGAGCAGTAGTGGGTGCTGTGGTGGTGGTAGTAGTAGAAGCAGCAGTAGTGGTTGCTATGGTGGTGGTGGCAGTAGTAGTATAAGCAGCAGTAGTGGTTGCTGTGGTGGTGGTGGCAGTAGTAGTAGAAGCAGCAGTGGTGGTTGCTGTGGTGGTGGCAATAGTAGTAGAAGCAGCAGTAGTGGTTGCTGTGGTGGTGGTAGTAGTAGAAGCAGCAGTGCTGGTTGCTGTGGTGGTGGCAGTAGTAGTAGAAGCAGCAGTAGTGGTTGCTGTGGTGGTGGCAGTAGTAGTAGAAGCAGCAGTAGTAGTTGCTGTGGTGGTGGCCGTAGTAGTAGAAGCAGCAGAAGTGGTTGTGGTAGTAGTAGTAGAAGCAGCAGAAGTGGTTGTGGTGGTGGTAGTAGTAGAAGCAGCCGTAGTGGTTGTATGGTGGTGGTGGCAGTAGTAGTAGAAGCAGCAGTAATAATAATAATAGTGGTTGTGGTGACAGTAGCAGAGGTGAGGAGGGCATTCGGTGAGCAAACGATAGGAATTGGTTTGAATTGACTATACTTCCTTTAGGGGATAAAATGAGGAAGAAGGAGAAGAAGAAGAAGAAGAAGAAGAAGAAGAAGAAGAAGAAGAAGAAGAAGAAGAAGAAGAAGAAGAAGAAGAAGATGAAGAAGGGATTACTCCCAGGTATAATTACATATTCGTTCAATAATCAATATTTACTTGCAATTCCTCCCCAGAACTGTGTTTCCTGTTGAAAGTTCTGGAGATAAGATTTTTTGCAAAGCTTTCCTGATTGGCTCACGGAAACGAAGTGAATATAGCCTTTGAACTTTGACCTTATGACGATCTTGAATCTGTCAAGAACCCGGTCTAGCACAGCATGTACGTAAGCCTCTACCCGTACGGATACCCTACGGCAGGTCTACCACCACCACAAGCAACAGCACCACCGCCAACAGCAACTGTGCCTTCGGAGTTTACAACACCGTCCACGTTCTTCACCACAACTGGACAACATTTTGCGGGTTTGAACCCCCAAGATCTGTTTCTGCCCTATTTTGGAGCCTTTCCTGGTCTGAACGGGGTCCCGTCTGCAGGTATACCCCAGCAACAGATCCAGCAACCCCACTACCTCACCAGCACTCAGTCATCAGTCTCCCCACTTGTGGTCTGTAGAAAGGTGAGTGTCGCAGGGCTGTTGATTCGTGAAAGTGTGTATCTTAACTAAAACCCTTATTATTATGTTGTCGTTACAAATTGTTGCCCTAACCTGACAAATATTGCACTGTTATCACCCTATTGTGAAGAAGATGGACCGCAGAAATATCAGAAACAATGAAAAATACTTTATACGAAGCGAACAGAAAGGCACGTTCCAGAGATCTCTTCCTGTCCTGACGCAGCGAGGCATTCTACCAGTAGTGGAACGAAGAAGAAGAAGAAGATCACCATATTGTTACACAATTTGTCACTTCAGTGCTGGCAAATGTTACCCCATTACACGCTATTGTTACCAATTGTTGCCATAACCAAGACCGTCTCCAGTACCAAAAAATAAACCCCCGCCGTAACCTCGATTTTTATCAAACTCAGCTCTATTGTTACATTTTTTCTCACGAATCGTTGCCCCAACATTAACCACAGCCGGTGTGGTGTAGAGACTAGACTCTCGCCTGCGAATCGGAAGGTGGTGGGTTCAGGTCCCGATGAAGCCGTTCATTTTTTCAAAAATGACTTTGTCTTCCAGGTCGACCCTGCCTTAAATGGGTACCAGGTATAGTCATGGGAGTAAAGGCGGCCGGCGTGATGTTGACTATATCACCCACCGAGTACCGATATGTCTATAAAATATTGGTCTAGCCCTATATGCCCCAAAGGAGTGGAAAAAGGCTTCCTTAATTTGCTAACCCTAACCAATTCCAATTCCAATTTGTCCAACAAAAATTCAAATTTTGATCCTCTTTCAGCCGCCCGGAGGCCTGCTATATCGAAGAAGGTTCCTTAGCTGTCTTATATGGTTTCCTTTTATTTGTGGTGTGTAGTCACACCTGATATTACGGTTAACCATGAAAAATGTTATCAAGGATATGTAATTCTTATAAATGTTACTCTATGGCACTCTTTGTTACTCTGTGTTTGCCTAATTTCAACTCTAACGGATGATATTCAAATGCACAATAGATGAAACTAACAAATGGTAATATATGGTACTCAGACTGTGTTCTTCTACATTTCTACTTCTTTCTATAAGTGCCAATCAATACATTGTCTGTTTGTTTATTATGTGTATACAATATTTCTACGGTCTCAAGAGTGTCTCCTCTGTTTGTTTATAAACAATGTATCTATGGTCATAATAATTTATCAGCGGATGTAAAGGGGTTTTAGTTAGTTATCTGACAGATTATCCTTACTTCCCATTTAACCATTCAGTCCATACGTGCTTGCGTCCCATTCTTGGTTCAGATTTAGGTTAAAGTTCAAACAACAGATCAACAATTATTATGTCCAGTTTCGTCCTTTTTGGGACGAAATTTTTTGTTATTTGAAGCCCCACCCTGGCCTTTGCCCGGGGGCACAATATAGGCAGGCCATAAATATGGCCAATTGTCTGAACGCGGTTTCCGGGACCTCTCCACGGCGATCCTCATGCACATGGTGGCACTTTGTGTCACTGGGTGTTTATCGCTTGTGTGATGTCCTAGTGGGGTAGAAAGTCAGTCAGTCAGTCAACGGATCAACATCGTGGTACACGAGAGTAACCCATAAGTACTCTATTCTACTTCTAACTCACGTCTGAAGAATCCCAGTGCAGTGCATGAACTCCATAGCACCGGCGAGGATCCTGAAATACTTTGGGTAGATTTCCAAAATTTTCGTGTAGCGGCTGAAGACACTAGTTCTGTGTTGGTTTTTGAAATTCTTCTCTTGCTCCCTGCACAGTGCTCTTGTCTGGCTTCCCGCTTTTTAACATGTTACTCTTGCAGTCAGGTCATGGCTGCAGATTCACAGTCATCACTTGGTTCTCGCAAACGTCTCACATTTCGCAGAGCATTCAGATAATCAGCATGGTCCATAGTTCGTCAGCCTGCTCATTTTCTTGTATCCCTGCGTGCCGCGGCACGAATATCTTCTTCTTCTTCTTCTTCTTCTTCGCGTTCACCAGCTGTACAATCTGGCGGAAAGTTCTGGTTGTTCGTCTACTTCTGGACTGCAGTCCTGCTCCAGAACCTGAGTGTTGCGTGTGCATCAGTTTTACAGATCTGATTCACTTGAATGCAGACTGTTGGTTCCTTGCCTCTCAGGCAGATGCACTCCGACTTCAAAGGAAGCTCCCAATTAGTCGACTCTTACGACATGCTTTTGGGGAGGCAGTGGGTCTATTCTTGTTTTCCCCACAATGGGGCCCCGGAACCCGCATGGGGGGTCACGAATATGAAACCGATATGTGTCAGTCTCGACCGCACCAGAGACTCCAGCCGCCACCTTCGGACCCAGCCCATCTCTGTCTTTCTGGGCAGACTCATTGAGACACTGGAGGGGCATTGGTGTACGCCAATGATATCGTTTGATGTGTTGGGATATCCGTATATATATATATATATATATATATATATATATATATATATATATATATATATATATATATATATATATATATATATATAGAGCATCATTGGAAATAAGGGATACCAGTGGATATAGGACATTGCTTTGTATGATAGGATATTGGTGGATATTATTGGATAATCGTGGATAAAGAACATCACTGGATATTGGTGGATATAGAACAGAAATGCGTATGTTAGGATATTAGTGGATCTATAAAATTACTAAATATAATTGGATATCAGTGGAGATTATGGGATATTATGGATAGATAATATTACTGGATGTGAAGCGATATCAGTGGAAATAAAACCATTACAGAATACTAGAGTATACAGAGCATTACTTAATATGATATGAGTAGACATACAACATCAGTGGACAGGGTGAGATTTTAGTGGATATACAGCATCAATGGATATTATGAGATTGTAGTGGATATGCAACACCAGTGGACATGATGAGATTGTAGTGGATATGCAGCACCAGTGGATATGATGAGATTGTAGTGGATATACAACATCAGTGGATATGATGAGATTGTAGTGGATATACAACATCAGTGGACATGATGAGATAGTAGTGGATATACAACACCAGTGGACACGGTGAGATTGTAGTGGATATACAACATCAGTGGATATGATGAGATTGTAGTGGATATACAGCATCAGTGGACATGATGAGATTGTAGTGGATATACAGCATCAGTGGACATGATGAGATTGTAGTGGATATACAACATCCGTTGATAGGATGATATATTAGTGGATATACAACATCCGTGGATAGGATGACATATTAGTAGATATACAACATCCGTGGATAGGATGATATATTAGTGGATATACAACATCCGTGGATAGGATGCGATATTATTGGATATACATCAGTGGACATGATGAGATTTTAGTGGATAAGGACATTACTGAATATTGTAGGTATCGCTGGGCACGCATGGTATCACTGAATCAATCAGTCATTCAGACAATCAGTCAGTCATCACAGAGACAGAAAAGTCACACAGATCTGCAAAGAGACACAGAGACACACACAGTGTGTGTGTGTAGGTTTGCGTGTGTGTGTGTGTGAGAGAGAGAGAGAGAGATAAAGAGCGAGAAGGAAAGAGAGAGAAAAGGAGAGAGAGAGAGAAAAGGAGAGAGAGAGAGAAGGAGAGAGAAAATGAGAAGGAGAGAGATAGATCTACCACATCCCGTTGATGCGTGTAGATGTGAAAAATGATATTCTGTGTGTGGCGACGAACCCCGACCTTCTCCGCAGGTTATGTGCATAAAATCTCCAGGACCTATCGATTGCCTGGGATTGTAGATCGTGCCTATTTGCAGTAGATAACATTCAACAGTAGGGAGTACTTTTTCTCCGCGCCGTGTGAAAACCGCAGCACTTATATCCACCACACAGGGGCTGTGGGAATTACTGCACCTGACGTAGCTAGGTACTTTGCTCAGGTAAATTTTCACTATGTAAAGAAATGTTTGTTAGTCGTTCTAGTTAAAAGCACTATATACCTGCGCACGTGTTACCTTCCTGCTTGTGTGTGTGTGTGTGTGTGTGTGTGTGTGTGTGTGTGTGTGTGTGTTGAGATACTCGTGTATTATGGTAGCTCTCACTTGCACGTGTGTTCGGCATTACACACAATCTCATTGCTTACTCATAGTTTGTGGAAGCGTCTCTCTCTCTCTCTCTTTTCTTTACTCCTCCCCGTATCTCTTTTATGTGCCCCTTCTCTGGTGTGTGTTCATATGTGTCTTCTTCATCTATATGTGTGGTGTGTGACCCCCCATCCCCCATCCCCCAACCCTTTCCGTGTGTATTGTGTGTCTCCCCAGTACGACTGTTTGCCTGGCCTCCGAATATGTATGTCATTTCTCTCTATCTCTCTCTATATGTGTGTGCGTATTTATGTGTCTCTCCTTTTATGTGTATGTGAGTTTGTCTGCACCACTTGTTGTGTGGACGGACGTGCATACCTGCATATATGACTATATTACATACAGAACAAGACAGTAAAAAAAGGCGCAGTCAAACATTATGGCACTTCTAGACTAACCCACAGCCCACTTGGCTGATGATGATGATTATCATCATGTAGCAGGTCCTTTGCAGAACGTCGCTCTCATCACAGTCTGCCTGAAAGAAACTCGGTCTCTTTGCCAGTTCTCCCGCCTCATGAACTTTCACACTCAAGGAGTCACTTATATCCTGTGTCCATCTTCGTGTCGGTCAGCCCCTGGCCTCCTTCCTAGTACCATGCCTTCTACTATAATTTTTTCCAATCCGTCGTGGCGCTTGATATGACCAAAATATTTCAGCTTTCGAGAAAGGATGCTGTTTATTAGCCAATCTTCCTTAATGTTCAGATCTTTCAAGATGTCAGTATTTCTCCTCTTTTTCGTCCAAGATATTCTGAGAATCTTTCTATAGCATTTCAGCTCGAAAGCCCCTATTCTCTTTCTTAAGGACTATATTTTCTAATAGCACACTAATTTATCTTCAAAATAATAATTAATTTATAATAAGTCTACCTTACTCCACCTGAGGTCAGATTCT